TCTTCCTTCGGTTTGATTTTCTTCTTTGGCTTTTTTCTTTTCTTAGTCTCTTGCATTTGTGTTAACACTGCCTCATGGCAGACGTCGTGCAACAAGAAGTCAGGCACATGCTTTTTGCTCTTATCCTTTTTTTCCTTTTTAATTTTCTTGTTTTTGTGTTTCTTGGATGCTTTAAAGGCATTTTCTACATTGGGAATGTTCTTCATTGTTGGGAGAGAAGCCATTTCCTTTACAAAATCAAAGAGTAACAACAAAGCACATTGGTTATTTTATCAATTCTTATTATTATCAATGTTGAAAACAGTTGTGCTGCTTAATATTTTACTGGAAATGGTGATAGCTTTTTTAGGATTCTTTGATTAATAAAATGTTATACCAAGGAACAGCATTTATTTGAAATAATAAATCTAAAATAATAAATATGTATACCTTATACATGTCTTTACTATCACTTCTGAATAATTGAATGCATTCTTGCCAAATAAGTTTTTCTTTTCTTTTTTTATCTTACATACCCCATACTTTTGAATGGTTGTGTATCACGGTTTCCACAAAAGTATGAAGCAGCACAACTGTTTTTGATATTGGTGATAATATTAAATGCTTCTTGAGCACCAAATCAACATATTAGAATGATTTCTGCAGGATCACGTGACACTGAAGACTGGAGTAATAATGGAGAAAATTGAGTTTTGCCATCACACGAATAAATTACATTTTAAAACATATTTAAAAAGAAAACAGTTGTTTTAAATTGCAGTAATATTTCACAATATTACAGTTTTTACTGTATTTTGATCAAATCAATGCAGCCTTGGTGAGTTCTTTCAAAATCATTCAAATGTATTAATATTAATTATTTGGGCCGGCAGTGTACAGATATGCACATATGTAAAACTATAAATATAAATATGTATTTACATAATGTGTATTTATCGCTATGTACATGCATGGTTAATATGCCTGGTGCAATGCAACAAACCATTATGTAACCTAATATGGGGGGGTCTGAAGGCTCTATCATAAGTTACACAGTAGTCAACATTTGAAGTGGATCAAAAAAGTTAATCAAAGTTGTCCTAAAACAAGAACGCATTTTGGTTTTAGGACAACTTTGATTAAAGGTTTTGGATCCACTTCAGTTGTTGACTATGTAGTATAATTTTTTGTGAATACTCACATGCCTCGCCAGAGTGAACTTTCCTATTTGTCCTGTTTCTTTTCCCAAGTAACACCTGTCAATGTGAAAACAAACGCATTTAATTCAAATGTGGAATCATTTTTTCAACTATGTTCCAAATCTTGTGTAACTCTTACCTGATATAGCAGGTCACCTTTCCTCTCAGGCAGGAACTTAAAAGTCAGTGCAGAAACAGTAACAGTAATGAGGAGAGCAGACTTGTGGTTGCATTTGTTGAGAAACTGTAGCTAAAGTTGAACGCTACAGTTTAACACTTAGTTCATCGCGACGTCATTCTCCACAGATACTCAGCGACTTCTGCTACAGAAAGCAGCTTGTTTAACTGCTCGTCCTTTGCGACTAAATATGACCAAGTGCATTTCATTTAAAAGTATTTCGTGTATTCTTGTGTTTTGACCCTAAACCAAAAGGAAAACTGTCATGTACTTACCTATTTTGCTCATTGACAAATTACACTCTCCTATTTTTCCGCCAATTACCGCTTCAGTGTGTTGCCGACTGCGCATGCTCTGTACGTATCGACATTTTCGAGCATTTATGAACAGCATGTATCTAATAAAAAAATAATGTAAAATACATTCTAAAAACAAACGACGTATAAAGACAATTACTGCTAAGAAAAACTGTTCGCAGTGGTGTGTACTGAAAATGTGCCATTTCATAAATCACGCCGTTACTGTGACAACGAAGAGCTACGTAACCTTTATATCTTCAGTCCATTCATGAATAAGCATCAGTGCTCTGTGCGTCACTCGGCTTGTCAGGCAACTATTTTCACTGCTGGATAAATCCCTTTCTCACATAAAGGGCGCTTTTTGTAGCTTTTCTTCTTAGAAATGGCTTCCGTGGTCTATCGCGTCAGCAAGCAGCAGCTAAAATTATTTTTTTACTGCCATTCTTTTTACGGACCAGTGGGAATATCGCATGTGAACCTGCATTAAATGTGTTACTGATGTCTTTCCGCTCCTTAAACAGTTTCTTTGAAGCTACGTAAGGTTAAATCAACCAGCGTCACTAGTTGAAAAAGGTCACCAAGTTCAAGGCTTATTCGCAAAAGAAAAGACATACATTTTTATTTAGTTCTTCACAAAACCTTTTTAAAATACATTTACTTTTTTTTTTTTTTGCTACAATGTTGTAATATTTATTGTGCTTTTTATATGATTTATTTATCGTTTGTTCTGTAAATTATATTGCATACAGCATTTTCTTTGTGTATTAGCACACTGTGTTATTTATTTTCTGTTTGGTTGGTATAGTAAATTGCACATTGTACATTTTCTCTGTGTTTATGCTATGTATCATAGCTGTGAATACAAAAATACACGTCTTAACCTGTCTATATTCTATTCTATTCTATTTTATTCTATTCTATTCTAATACACTAAACATTGTACATAATTTGTTATCATAGCTGTAAATACAAAAATACACACCAGACCTGTCTCTGTTCTATTCTAATCTATTCTATTCTAATACATTGTACATGTACATGGTACAGCTTTTCTGTGTTTATACAGTGTATCAGCTGTAAATAGTAAAATACATTCCAGATATGTCTATATTCTATTCTGTTCTAAAACATTGCACATTGTAAATATTTTCTGTCTTTATACTATGTATTATAGCAGGAAATACAAAAATACATGCCAGACCTGTCTATATTCTATTCTATTCTATTCTGACTATTCTAATACACTGCACATTGTATATCATTTATGTTTATACTACTGTATGTATCATAATTATAAATACAAAATTACACACCAGACCTGTCTATATTCTATTCTATTCTATTCTATTCTATTCTAATACATTGCACATTGTACATATTTTCTGTCTGTATACTATGTATCATAGCAGTAAATACAAAAATACATATCAGACCTGTCTATTCTATTCTATTATTTCCGTCTTCCAAGCATCTAAAAAAAAAAATTTCCAATAAAACGCTAATCTTGTTGCATTGTATTTTGATGTGCTACATCAGGGGGAAAAAACAGTAAAATCACTATAAAAATAATGTTACACAAATTACATTTTCTAAAATATGACTATAAATGTTTCAGAACCAATATTTTAGGATAATACCTGCTTTTAAAAATGTTGAATGTGTCACCTGTTGTCAGATGCTTTCAGGTGCCAGTTATTAACATATGTCGCCATTCATTTTGGATATCAAATGTTGTGTTCAAATCAACCCACATAATAAACATTTTACCACTCAATAAACCTTGAGAAAGACCAAAAATAGCCACATGATGGCACTTAATATAGATTCAGTTCATTGTGTCACAAGGACCAGCATGGCTTTTACACCTGTGGCATGACTGCATTGGGTGTCCTTAGGTGACTTGATATCTCCCCCTGAATTCTCCTGAATAATCATGTGTAGTGGTAACACACACTGCTGATGACATGATCCGCATCGATAAAGCATGAGGTAATGAGAACTACAGTTCGGGGGTTGAAAGGTCCCCCCTCCTGCCTCCAAAGGGTCTAAATACTGCTGAGGATTGTTAGGACTGTGCTAGGGATCTCTTGCAAGGGTCAAAGGTCTATTTGTTTGGTGGGTGTCATCTAAACAGGCCATGCACACTTCAGCCCATACACAGTACTGCAAAAGACCGGGATGGGGTCAAACATCTTCAACTTGCGGGCCTTGTCAGCCATAAATCTTGTGAATTTGGTATGTAAACAACTTTAATTGCTTACCACCTGCGAAGTTTGTTTTACAGAATGCCAAAGGATGAAACAGTAGCTCATGGACAGGTGCAATGCACAAGATACAGTGAACATTTCTAGAATAAGCAGTATTCGATACAGCTTACATGCACTTTGCTGGTTATTGCATAAAACATAGATATTGGGTGACGATCTCTCAGGTCCTCTATAATTTACAGACTGAAGTGATGCTTATTGCCTCGTATGTCATCATACCCTATTTTTTTTTGAGTCAGAAGCCCATAGCTCGGAGAGAAACCCTAACCACACCACGAGATAAGATCTATGGGTCAGACCTGTTTAGGTACCCAAACACACTCTCTGTGTCATGACATAGCTATTCCTGGGCTACATTTAGAAAACTTCGCTCATAGTTACCTAATCTGCCATAAAAGTAGGACAGAGCCGTCCACCTCCCCGGGTGCCCCTCTGGACACCTGTGACTGCAGCAGGTTCTTTGGCTGGACTACCACCTGATAGAGAAAACATGTACACGTAGCAGCTGCTATCATAGTTGCAGTAAATTAATACCTTTTCTGTACATTTTCAGAGAAAATCCGGAAAACTTTTTATTGGTCTAGGTGGATGCAACTATTTCAGAAAAGAAAAAAAATCTATATGTACAATTTATGCAGCCTTGAAGGTTAATAAAATCATACAAAATCATACACATACAGCAAACATCCTGAAATTAAAATTAGATAATATGTATAAGATAATAGAATAGAATAGAATAGAATATAAATAATTTACTACCTGATTTAAATAACTGAGCAGTACCAAACTAAAATTAAGTCATTTTCACCTTTGGAATTAAATAAAAAATATATATGTATTTGTTTGTGTAATTATTGCTAGGTAGTTAAGGAAATTGTACCACTAATTTACGCACGTAAGTTCAAATTCAAGGGCGGGTTTTAACGAGGGCTGAATTATTGGTGGTGTTGTAGAGGTGTTGTCACGCGCATTCTTCATCAAGGCACGGGGTGACATCATCACTAATAATGAAGGCGGCTCATCAATGGACACAGAGCTATATAAGGAGCTCACCCTGTGAACTGTGAACCAACTCTAATGTGAACTGATAGGCTGATGCACGAACTCCCGCAATCTCTTACTTAATACCCAGCAATGGTGAGTTGAGTCTAAATTGTGTTTGTATTGTATTAGTAAATATTGTATTATTTTTTATCTTAGCTATATATTTAGTTCTATATACTAATTTTGCTCCAATTAAATTATTATTACCATAAACGCATTTATTTTTATTTCAAAGGTTCATAAAATGATTTCCATCAATCTTGGACTTTTGGAGAAAACAGTTGTACTTTTCTCCATCTGCATATTATTCTATTCAACACATGGAGATGGCAAGCCACTGGGGTAAGTATACTGTAGCTAATATTTTTCCAATTCAGTAAAAAACTTATTTTTTTTTTGCTCAAATGTATGATAATGTATTTTTTTTTCTCATCAAAAAGCAAAAGGGCTATCAATGAAGTCCAGCTTATGCACAACCTCGGGGTGCATAAACATGCGGAACTGAGGCAAGACTGGCTTCAGATGAAACTTCGGGAAATCCACACGGCCTCAGAGAAGAACAACGAAGGGAAAACAGGACTTCTTTCAGATATCATTCCCAATCTGAAGGATCTAAATCCAAGGGAAGCAGAAGATATCATTGCAGTTTTGGAAAAACTTATGAACCCGTCGTAAAAACAGAATTTGATTCATGTGAACTCAGGGACTGAAGTCAAGCCATTCTTTTCAGCCTTAATTCTATTAACAATATTTATTTTTTTTCTATACAAAATGTATTTATATTTTTTATGTAGTTTCCATCATTTTTAGCGGCTAAGCCGTGACAGCTCAAAGCTCTTTTATGTATTTATTCGTTATTTGATCGTAACATAGGCTAGATCTATTAACTGAACCCAGAAAAAAGTAAAGGAGCAGTCGGACCAAATGTTTTTTTTTTTTTTAAGAAAAAAAACAGATAAAAAGTCATTTTTGAGTGTCTTCTATTCATGATGACAATGTAAAATAAAGATAAAAAACACTGTTCATTGTTGTGTTAAATGTCCCACATCACGCACTTTACATTTAGGCTTGGTTATTTAGGAATAAATTTAGCCTGCTCTTTAAATTTATTTCTACTTCTACTTTTGTCGTTTTTCTTGTATTTCTGCAGTAATAATTTAAAATAATATTATTAATAATATATATTATATATCTTAATATATATTATATAATATAAATATAATATTATTTCAATGCACTCTCTGCATTCTATTTTCGTAGAACGCCTTTTATGGCAGCAATGCAAATATCTCAAAAGCAGCGTGTTCCCCCACAGCAGCTGATTGTACCAGAGATGATCTTACTATAGGCAAAGCGTATAGAAGACCTTAGGTCTTCTAACTTGGATCACGTGTGCCGTAATAACCAATCACATTACAGCCTTGCCGTCTGACTTTCATTCTGCGTTGTGCGACACTCAATCGCAGTTTACGGATACCATAGGAATGAAAGGGAAGTGCCGTAAGCTGTATCCCTGTCGCAAAAAGTCAGTGACTTCTCTTATAAAACAGCATTTTGTTTTCGTGGTAAACTTTAAAAATAGTTTAATCCAAAAGTATTGTTTAGTGTAAGACATGTTGTAGATTAGCAGGCTGTCGATTCATTAAATGATAAGCCGTTTCCTCTAAAAGGCTGTTTATTCAGCGTAGTGAAGCCTCTCCTCCATTGACATCCATTCAAACAAAACGGCCTCTGGTCTCTTTTCCCACGTACTGCCAGACCGGAAAGTGTTAGCTTTAGCCGTTACGCTTTTTCGGCTAATGGTTGCAGGCTTGCCTTCTAGTGGCTTTGATTGTACGCTGAAGGTGAAGGTGGTTTCTAATACGACGTCCCGTGTGTTCTTCTCGCGATATTTAGCTTAGTTAACTTGTCTCCTTGGTTAGCCGTGTAGCATCTTCATATCTGTCAACATTGTATCCCATCGTTAACGGTGAAGAACAAGCTAATGTAAATTAATGCTAGCTATTATTCACTTCTGTCAGTAAGTTCAAACGTACACCACGCGGAGAAAGTTCAGCGTTTAGCAGAAACAGGTGAGAGATCGTTTGTGTTTGATTAGCGCTCACTTTTAAACGCTAACTTAAGCTAACTAGATAGCTTAGTGAACCAGGTTACCTAGGTTGGAGTACTTGGTCAGTTTTGTGGGCTTTTTGGAGACTTTATTTTTTTACTAGCTCATCAAATAACGTTAGTTAAACGAATACTTGTGGAATTGTACTACTTCTTATGAACATTATCTCCCATCTTTTTTAATAATCGGAACCAGAAGGATCACGACTTTTTTTTCTTAAAGAATAATAATAATAATATATTTAATAATATATATAATATATAAAATAAAAAAAATAAAAAAATATTATTAATATATAGAATAGTAAAGAAAAAAATAAAAATGTTACAACTATAATTGTCCAAAAGAAAAAACATTCTAGTACAACAAGTAGAGTTCTTGTAAACATTACGCAATATCAGCAGGGCTCTAAAAATCAAATCCGTATGCAAAAAAATCCTGTAGGAATTTCACTTTATCCAGTAAAATCGTATTTGATTTGTAGAGGATTCTTATTTTATGATTCGTTTGGGTTGTTTCAAAATTAAGATTACACACAAATTTTAATCGAACCACAGTTGAATTTTCATGCAAGTTATTTGTGCACATAAAATCTGCCATTTGGACAGATGAAATTAATAAATTAAAAGCATCATAGCAAGTTTTGGCAACAGAAAGAATGAAAACATTGTTTCAATTCTTTTTGCTCTGCTAGGATATGAGACCTTAAGGCGTAACGGTCCAGTAATATAAACTCCTGAGATGGCAGCACGTTCTATCTCTTATGACAGCCACTCTAGCGATTCAGAAAATTGGGATCAAAGGACAACATGTCGGTCTAGGAGAATCTGCAGACACTTAAGGTAAGACTGGATAATAACAGAGATTCCCAGTCATAGGAGTGTCCACCTGCTGCATGGATTTTCTGAAGTCTGTCTTCAAAAACACTGCACTGTCAGACGTATTTGAAATTGAATATGTGGATGTAAACGTTCTTGTACAGTTAAATTCATTGTGGTTCACTCCAAAACGCTAAAGCCATTATTTATATAGTTAATATATGAGGCTGAGTGGATAATAGTAATCAATTTTAATTGATCTTCATTTTGATTAACTGAAAAAAAAGATTAGATTCTTAAATAGGTAGATTCTTTAGATTCCAAGATCGCTCTGTTTTGTCTATTGTCAATGCGTAAACAAAACTTCACCAAACATAATTTTCAGTTTTCATGACAGCCACCATTTAAATGTTTAAATTTTAACAAATTGGAGTAAAAAAATAACACCATTTAAAAAGTATATATAAAAACTGGTTGATTGATATAGTTCATTCGGCCTACTATAACTATTAAATAAATAGAATTTAGACTCTGTTGTTCATTTTAACCTTTAATATTATAGTAATGTACCAACTTACAAGGTTTCCTGTATAGTTTACAGCATTACTTGATATATTGTACCTGTACTGTAACTGATAAATAGCCAAACGAATTGAAATCGAATCGATTAAGAGTTTGTGAATTGAAATTGAATCAGTTCATGAAGTGAGTGTCGTTACTTAGCCCTAGTTTATATTGTATGTTTTTGTGCATCATGCTGGTTGTTTCAGTGTGTATACTGATTTCTTTAGGGAATTTTGTATTATGAAAGAAGATTATATATCTGCTGTGCTTGTATCATGAGGGCCTGTTTATAGTATATTAGTATACTAAAGTTACTGGGCAACAACTTGCCTAATTTTACATAAATTTGCAATTTACTGTAACCAGTAATGTTTTGTTGATCAGCGCTGCCGCTGTTTGATATGGTTATCTATCTGTCTATCTATCTATCTATCTATCTATGATATCAATGCAAGTGCCATCTTAGTGATATCAATGTCCGTTTGCAATGCCATTGCAGAAATGCTGTTTTCACTTTAGACCTTAGTCAGGTTAGATGCCACTTTGAATTTAAAGTGGATAAAAACGAGGCTGGCATAGATAAACTTACAGTATTTATAATGACACAAACTGTTTTATGGAGTTTTTGCCTACTGAAAGTTATTTCAGTATTTTCAGAAAGACTTTTCGTCAGCTGAACATTATCAGTATGTTATTAAACATCAGTACAATCCATTAAATTCACTGTACTTCTATCCCTCACAACCAAGTTTTCAAATATATATATGGCCACACGTTTTTGCATCTGAGTCTACGATTTAAACCCCCCCCCCCCAAAAAGGTACCATTCTAATCGTTTTTGCATATGTTAAATGAGAAAAAGGCTATAGAGAGCACCAATGCACATAATGCACAACCTGCTCGCCTTTGTGTGTCAGCGCCACCTGCTGGCCGTTGAGAAATTAACAGCTTGTAAGGATGGAGTCGGAAACAATGGCCATAAAAGCTTTTGTTTATGAATGAAAGGAAGGGTTTAAAAAAGCACAGCTTACGACATGCTTTTCTAAAGCAGATTTTTATCATTTTATTTCATTATCTAGTCTGTTACAAGCACACCTTTGATTGTCAAGGATATGTGAAGGTTATACAAGGATACGCTGATGATATCAAACAAATATAGCGATTGATTTGAATTGACGACAGATGGTGCATTACAACACTCACTTGTCTGCACCTTTAAATGAGTTTTGTACTATATTCAGAATAGAAGGTCATTCTGACAAACGCTTTTAACACTCGTGCGGTTGCGGAGATCGAGGTTCACCGAGTTCGTTTTCCATCGCATCACGCCATCTCTTTCATCAGCACGTCGTGTTGTGGTGCATGAGAGAATCTACAGTATCAGGAGATGTTATAAGTGTCGGCCTACGTCATCGAGGCAGCCTCCGCGTGCCACAGTAGCGACCAGCCTTTCACCGTCAGGTTACTATGCTACCGTCCTACCTGAGGGCGTCCTTTCTTTCCAAACAGCGGCATTTGGAGGCTGTGTTCGCAGCAAGTTACACCGGAGTGCTCGCATTATGCTGAAGTTTGAAAGTAATGCCCGAGGATGCTAAGTCGCCTGGCAAGTCTTCGTTGTGCGAAGGAGCGCGCGTCCTTTGTGCGTTCATTCATCAGCTGCTGCCCTGCTGCTTTGTTTTAAAGACAGGCGGGTACGTAGACGCTCTTCACTGTGTCAGTGAGTCTTAAAAGAGGGATGTTTTGCTTAGTAAAGTCCTGAGAAAATGCGTAGTAAGTTTTATTTATAGATTTTATTTCAGATGCAGTTCCCTCATTAAATATTCTATTGTTTAGAAATGAGTTGTATGCGTCATTTGAACGCATATCTGCAGGCAGTGCGCTTCAGGAACTCATTGTCTTGCTGTTAAACATTAGAGGAGCGGTGTCAGCAGTGTGCTGAATTATTGATGCTACTTTCTCTGTAAGTAACAGAACGGATTGTGCGCCCGGGACAAAAGTCAAGTTAAACCGCACTTGTCTTTTTGTCTTTTTTATTAGTATTGATTGACATACAGAAAGACAGATCTTCAATTGGCTTGTCTTGTCAAGATGATGATCTTGTCCCCTAAGGGGTGCGGAGACACCACAGACATGCCTTCAGTTCAGTTCGTAGTGGGCTACTTCTGCCTGGCACATTTCTGGGCTGATGCAATAGAGAAGCAAAACATGATCTTGACTTGTAATTGTATAGGAATCATGTTTGTCAGTGGGTCTGTGAAAATTAACTCTGATATGAAGCTGAATGAGCCCATCCTGTGTGCTGAATGAATTTCTGTGTGAGCTGCTTAGGGAGTCATCAGACTGCTCAGATGGTACTTAAAGGATGCAGCTGAAGTTCAGGTTTCACCATTGCATTAATGGCTGGGATCTTGGCAGCTAAAATATCAATCAGTAAGACTGAGGAAGCAGCTGAGAAGTGTTGAGAGTACAATGGTTTGCATAGTGTGATTTTGGTGTATTTTAAACAATAAAAGTGTCTTATAAACAATATCCCAAACCATTATTTTAACCATTTATTCTATTTTACATAATCTCACAATATACTACATTGCATTATATTATCAGTTGTTTTCTTTTAATTAATATAATATTGTAATATATGTGTGTGTGTATATATATATATATATAGTATAGCAATAAAACAATAGGTATTTAAATATAACAATGATTTTTTTATATTAGTATTCATAATACTTTGTAGTAATAATAATAATAATAATAATAAGAGAGTAATAATAACTATTATTCTTAATGTTATTTAAGCCATTATATTATTTTTTATATATTTTTTTATTTTAATTATTTATTTATTCTGTTTTACACAATAAAATAACCTTTAGAGTGTGTGTATATACTGATATATATATATATATAATTTTTATTTTTTATTGTTCCAATATTAGTATTAATAATATTTTGTAAATATTATCTTTCTTATGGTTTAATTGATGCTATAATAATAATAATAGTAATAATGACTATTATTCTCAATATATTATTTAAGCCATTATATTACTTAATTTACTAAATTATATTATGTTAAGCATTGTTTTGTGAACTGTTAATCATAAAAGTCTTGTTTTATTTTTATTTGAGAATAAATGGTTCTCAATAATTATGAAAACAAAACAAAAATTACTTAATCTGTGAACACCTTTGTTTCCTATCAAACACACAGCATGTCATGACTCTTTAGAGACCCACCACTAGGTGCCATCTGTCGGAAATTTCTAGATAAAATAGATGTGTTAGTATCTGTAAAATGATCAATCTACGTCTGATAGGGACTGTAAAGGTCACTCTAGACTTTGCACTCCATTCAATTTCTGTTCATATTCATGAAAACACATGCATTTGCAAAGAGGTTTTGGGTTTTGCTGCCTAAAGTTAAATATTGGTGATTGGTGATGTGACCACACTTTAAATTGCATGTTAAAACAGACCTGATTTCATTGATTTTATCGGTGGGATGCTATAGATTGTTGCATGTGTGTTCTGCATCAGGTGGGAAAACTCGCAGCAGAACACAGCAGGACAACTTATTGAATTTGTATCTGCTGTTGAGTATGGTGGTGCCGTGGGCTCTAGTCACGCTCTGGTTGGTTAATGGGTTCACAAAGCTTTTGGCTGGTGCAGTCATGAGAGTCGAAATAAATCGAGGGGTCCATATTAGGCAGCACTTTCGCTGGGATAAAACAAGCCCTATTTCCAGCCTATTCATCATTTATTCAAACAGAATATTCTGCCCGTGCACGCTTCAATGGACCCTTTATGTTTTTTCAGTGCAGGGGAAGAAAGAGGCATAGACCACAAAGACTGTGTTTTTTAACTGTGTTTTCTGCTTTGGTCTGTGCTGCACACCAGTCTCCTTACTTCAAGGGCGTCTGTCTTGTAATGATCCTGTTTCAGCCCCCTGGGGAATGAGTATTAATGCAAGAAAAAATGAACAGCACCTGGTCTGGGCATAGGCAGTCTGGAGGCTTTAAATGATGTCTGGGTTTATAAAGGATTTATTTGTATTTTATAGCTTTATTTATTTATTATTATTACTATTAGGGTTGTTATAGTTAATTAAAACTAAAACTAGTTTGTTACTTGAAATAAAATAAAGTATTAAAAACCTTAAACCTATTTAAGTTCATCTAGTTCTCAAGGAAACATTTCTCATTTTCATTTAGCTTAACTTGACGTACTAAAACGAAAAAAACAAAACAAATTCAAACCATTCAGACATTAAAAAAATAAAACTAATACAAAATTAATAATTCTAATTTTTAATAAAAACTATAATAGTATCTCATTGACAGTAAAATAACACTGATTACTTTGTTAATATTATAATAAAAATATATATTTCAGTTTTATTATTTAAAAAATGCTTTTTGTCAGTGCAATTTATGTTATAAATACAAAATAGAAGAAACCAGGGCTAGTTTTGTGAATATTTCTTTCTGTGGATATATTTCAGATTTTTTTTGTCCTGGATTTCTAAATTAAATTATAAGAAGTATTGAATCTTTAATATAGGCCGTCGCCTGAAAGGATTAGGTTAAAATTAAACCCCAGTCACTTTTTCTCACAAGCACAGCACGTGATGTGCATAAAATAAAGACAAATGGGAATGAATCGTCTGTGATCACACAGGTCAATGCAGTGGCTTGACAGATGAGGCTGTGCTGAAAATGAAGCTGCGCTGCTGTCCTTTTGTTTCATGCAGCAGGTTTGCAGGAAACGGTGAGAAATTGCGCTTTGCTGTCATCACACTTCCTGCACTCAGCATCTCTTTTAGAGCCCAGAGTTCATGTAAGTTTATTGTAGGCGCTCGGTGGGTTCCTCACGTTGTGGAGAGATGCACTCGGACCAGCCCTCCCTCAGCAGTCGATTGCTCACGTGTGTATCTGACTGTGTGTTGGCTTTTCCCGGCAGTGGTCAGCCGCGTGGAGCTCAGCTGGAGGGAGAGCTGGTCAAAATGAACCTGCACGGAGCCAGTGGAGGAGGACCCCTGGACCACCCCAGGGAGAGACGGCGCTCTGGTGATCGCTCCAGGGATTCTTCACACGAGAGAGGCGAAGGACAGCTGACCCCCTGCATCAGGAACGTCACCTCACCCATACGCCAGCACCTCAGCGGTGAGCTTTGGGTTGCTCATTCTGTACCATTTAAAACTCTCTCAAAACTTTCAAAATGCTATTCTTATTTTAATATTAATCCTACATTAATTATAATTTATTTTTTAAATATTTATGAATATTTTTATTTATTTAGTTATAAAATACACTGCCATTCAAAAGTTTGTGGTCAGTCAGATTGTTTTTTATGTTTTTGAAAGAAGTACCTTATGCTCATCAAGGCTGCATTTACTTGAACAAAACAGTAATGTTGTTAAATATTATTACATTTGAAAATGACTGCTTTCTATTTTAGTATATTTTAAAATGTAATTTATTCCTGTGATGCAAAGCTGAATTTTCAACAGCCATTACTCCAGTCTTCAGTGTCACACGATCCTTTAGAAATTATTCTTATATACTGATTTACTGCTCAAAAAAAAGAAATCTTGAAAACCGTTGTGCTGCTTAATAATTTTGGAGAAAATATTTCTGTTTTTGAGAAAACAGAAAGTAAAAAAAATTGAAATTTATTTGATGAATTTAATGCAAATTTGCTGAGCATTTTAAACATTTTGATTTCTTTCAAAAAAAAAAAAAATCTTTTCAACAGTAGTCTACATAATTATTATTATTTTTTTTTTTATACATTTTTTTTTTTTCTGGTTTAATAATTCAATCATGAGGGTTAAATTATCTAGCTGAAACTTCACAAACTGTTGCTGAATTTGATTTATTGTATTAACATTTATTGTTTGTACACTGATGGCTTATAGCTTTTACTGATGTCGGTACTGGGAGGCTTCACTTATTTTGTTTGACTCCTTTCTTAACTTCCGTATTGTTTGCTCAGACCGTGAACGGGATTCAGGCTGCTCATCGCGCTCCACGAGTCCCAGGCCTCAGAAAGCATGCATTTCCAGCCTGTTCTATGGTGAACCTCATGGTAAAACCCACAGCTCCGACATGATCTACGTGTGTGAAAACGTCAAGGAGGGCCCTCGCAATTTGAGGACTGCCGAGAGAGTCACTCTGATTGTAGACAACACTCGTTTTGTGGTCGACCCATCCATCTTCACTGCCCAACCCAACACCATGCTCGGCAGGTAGGATAAACTTCAGTCTCGTCTTTCAATTTGTCTGTTCATTATGGCTTCAATAGAACCATTCACTTCACGTCAGTGTTTTAATAAATAACTGATGGGCGTTGTCTTGAAGGATGTTCGGATCTGGACGGGAACACAACTTCACGCGTCCTAATGAAAAGGGAGAGTATGAGGTTGCTGAGGGAATCAGCTCCACCGTGTTCAGAGCCATTTTGGTGAGTGCACTATGCTTTAAAAGCTTTATTGAGGTTTTAAATATCTCTTTGGCCTAGTGCAGCGCATATTGATTAAGTGCCGGATTAGACTGCAGTATCAAAATTCACATGACTTCAGCACAAAGCGCACTGTTTTGTTTAAGGGGTCCTATTATGCTTTTTCACTTTTTCAACTTTAGTTAGTCTGTAATGTTTGCAGATGTATTACACATATAAAAATGGCAACTCAGCAGAACATTTTCCCCACTGTCTGGTTTCTTTGGTTTCCTTTATTATCTTCAGAGTCCGTGTCAGCATTTTTTGTATTCTTTTCCTGCCTGATCACTCTACTGACCTTGAAAATAATTAATACTTAATAAAACGGATAGTCTGGATGCTGGATGATTGTTTCGTTAAAATTACAGTGTTTTTATTTTTTAAATTATGAATGTAGATCCACTAGTTGTGCGTTGTGTGTGTGTATATATATATATATATTTATGTTGTACATAAATTTAAATAAATATTACATATTTCTTACACATATACATAAGCCATCAGTGTACACAAACAATGTTAAAGAAAAAATATTTCGCATTTTATACAGACTATATTTATATAATTTATAATATATATGTAGTCAAAAGTGCTGTCATGATTAAATGCATCCAAAATAAAAGTTTGTGTTTACATAGTGTGTACTGTGTATATTTGTTTATATAAATACACATTAATGTATGCATCTATATGTGTATATATATATATATATATATACAGTGTATGTATATATATATATATGTTATATACACTAGTCAACATTGAAGTGGATCAAAACCTTTTATCAAAGTTGTCCTAAAACCAAAATGTGTTCTTGTCTTAGGACAACTTTGATGAACTTTTTGGATCCACTTCAAATGTTGACTGCTATATATAAATATATAAGCCATCAGTATACACAAGCAATAAATGTTAATGCAATAAATAAAACTCTGCAACAGTTTATGAAGTTGCAGCTAGAGATTTTAACCCTCTCCTGATTGAATTATTAGACCCATTCATTATTAGAGTTAATCAAATAAATTTCAAATATTTTTTTACTTTGATTTCTCAAAAGCCAGAAACATTTTCTCCAAAAATATTTAGCAGCCAGCTGTTTTTAACATCAAAAATAAGATTTTTTTTTTTCTTGAGCAGCAAATCAGCATGATTCTTCTCATCGGCGCCAATAGCCTCGTGGTTAGTGCGTTGACATATAGAGTTTGATTCCCGTCTTGAGGTCCGTCTCGAGGTTTTCGGTGGTCTCTCTACTGTCCTATCTCAATAAAAACCATAAAAATAACTTTAAAAAAAAGAATAAAATAAAACAACTTCATTCTTCTCAGCAATAATGCATTGTCTTAATAAAATTAAAATAAATGTTAAAACATTTTTTTTGCATTTTAAACAGACTGTTTATGAAAAATATTTGATAGTACAAATATAATAGTACAAATATAAATTTGTACTATAAAAAATAGATGCATATTTATATTTAAAAATAAATACATCTTGTATACAACAGTGTAATCTGAGAAAAACTGGATTTTATGTGGATGTCATGGCCAGCTTTATTTGGACTACCTTGGCATTCGTTACAAACCCATCTTCGCGGCACTGAAAGAGTTAAGCTTCTACCGTGAGGCTCAGCTCAGTGGAAAAATCAGGACAGCACTACAGAAATAACAGCCATATTGAACCCTTCTCTTTTTTTTCAGTGAAGTGTTTTGTTGAGCGTCTTCATGCTGTCCGTATGCTGAGCTCTTTCCACGTTTGGCTGGCTTTAAATGGATCAGTGCGTGTGAAGAGTGGGAAAAACAGGGGGGGTGTGTGTGTGTGTGTCTATCTGGCATCGGAGCCATTTGCTTCTCTTTGGAATAAGTGCTGCTTCAGTAATGGCCGCCTGTTTGTTTTTCCTCTGCGTCTCTCCCTTTTAACCGGCAGGATTACTACAAATCAGGGATAATCCGCTGCCCTGATGGGATATCCATCCCAGAGCTGAGAGAGGCATGTGATTACCTTTGCATCGCCTTCGACTACAGCACCATCAAATGCAGAGACCTCAGTGAGTATTCATTAACATGACAAATGCACTAAACGGATTCGTCTTTTTGTGCCGGAATGTGCTCTGATTGTCACCGCAATGGCGGAACTGAACGGTATTCTGAGCGTTACGGATGTCTGAGGATGGTAGATACGAGAGAGCAGAAGTAGGTCAGTGCCGTATCCGGTGTGATTGTCAGATATGGGTCACTGGATGCTGATGGCATTGTTAGCGTTCACATTATTGCTTTTTTAATTGAAAGAATCATGCATGTGTCATGGTATGGCCGGATTGAATCAGTAAGTCAGCCGCTGAATCGTAATGAGCTGATTTGAATAACGCTCTGGAACTTGTCGGCTGCAGGTGCACTCATGCATGAGCTGTCTAATGATGGCGCCCGGCGGCAGTTTGAGTGCTATCTGGAGGAGATGGTGCTGCCTCTGATGGTGGCCAGCGCTCAGAGCGGAGAGAGGGAGTGTCATGTGGTGGTGCTGACCGATGATGACGTGGTGGACTGGGATGAGGAGTATCCGCCGCAGATGGGAGAGGAATACTCACAGAGTCAGTTCACTTCACCTGCACCTCAGTTACACACTGATGTCTGTGTCAATCACAGTGCTACTGCATTATGGGTCATTTCTCAGGGGATTTATGAGAATTGATTGTGGTCATTAGTGGTGTGTGCATGTGGTTTTTTAACACCTTTGGTCCTTATAGCTACGAACATTGAATGAAACCTTAAATTGTGCAGCTTGTTGTGTGCTGTTTTGATTTTGACCTTGTAGATGATAAAATGGGTAGCAACCACATAGCAATACACTAACATAAGCCAGATTTTTGTTTTTAGGCAGAAAAGACAGGATGTAGCAAAGATCAGTGTATGTTTGTAAGGAATGTGTTTTTGTGATTTTTGCTCAAGTTCATAATGGTTTTGTTTTTGTGTCCTGCAGTTATATATAGCACAAAACTATACCGTTTCTTCAAATACATTGAGAACCGAGACGTCGCCAAGTCTGTTTTGAAGGAGAGAGGACTGAAGAAGATTCGATTAGGCATTGAAGGTAAGACACAGAATAACAGGATGGGGAAAAATGGGTTTCACTTGGCTGTTTTCAGAAATGAAATAAGCTCATTTACACATTTAAAAGGATAATCAAATCATAATTTCACCCATATGTCGTTCTATAATAGAAGATAGTTGGAAGATTGTTGGTAACCAAACAGCTTAGTTCCCATTGGCCAAAAAAATACAGTGGAAGTGAATGGAAACCAAAACTGTTTGGTTATTAACATTCTACAAAATATCTTCGATATAATAATTTGCAATAATAAAAATGGTAGAATTAATAGTTTGCATTTTTGCATTTATATATATATATATATACATACACTTGTATAGGTTTTTAAAATGTAAGTTTATATATATATATATATATATATATATTATATAATATTAAAAGTTTGTAAAATAAATGTTATATATACTTTTATAAACGTTACATTTTTTAACATTTATTTTATAAAATGTTAAAATTGACACCGTGTATGACTGTTACATTAAAAAATATATATAAATATAAATATACATGTAAATATACATATGCGACCCTGGACCACAAAACCAGTCATAAGGGTACATTTTTCGAAACTGAGATGTATACATCATCTGAAAGCTGAATAAATAATCTTTCCATTGATGTATGGTTTGTTATGTTAGGACAATATTTGGCCGAGATACAACTATTTGAAAATCTGGAATCTGAGGGTGCAAAAAAATC